GCTGAAGAGAATTTATTGGTGAATGACATGTAAGACTCAGTCTTTGGATCTGTTCAATGGAAAGGTAGGATTGAATTGGCATCTTCCCATTCAGAAATGATCCCAAACAGTCTAGGTCAGGGGAATAACAGATCTGAATCCGGCTTGTAGATCTCCCAAATTTCCTTTTAGAGCTCCCTTCCCCAGCACCTTTCTTCCCCACTGACAGGAGATAGTCAGGAACTCATTTATGGCGGGCCAGGAGCAGGAGGGGTTCAGATGTGAGCAGGAGGTCTCAGCAGATCCCCTCATGGGATGGTCTGCTAGGAGCCCCTACCCCAGCCCCGCTGCCCCCAACACTCTGATCTCAGAGCCAGTTCCTGCCTTTCCCCAAAGCTTTCCAAGGACCTCGGGAACCTCCTTGATTTCTTTTCAAACATGTTTTTCCATAAAACAATGTAAGGAACAGAGGGAAAGCCTGATTCTGTCACAGCTGTTACAGCCAGAAAAGCAGGCATGTGCTTTGCTGGTTCCACCCAGGGTTCAGGGAGGACTAGGTGTGTGGGGTTGGCAGCGAGAGTTGCGGGGGTGAGCATCATGCAAAGGTCCCGCACATACTGGGGATGCAACTCTGGGCCTTGGGCCCCAACCCAGTCTCTGCACCGATCTAGAATGGTCAGGTCTTCACCAAACTCCAGCCATGGACACTCAAATGCTTTGAACTGAGACTACCTGAACAATCCTCCATACATATGTGGAACGGAGGTGAGAGGATGGTGGCCTTCCACACAGCAGCAGGCTGGCTAACAGGGTTCCTGCATGATGCTGATCCTGGCCACTCTGTGTTGCCGCTGCCCTTGTCCTGGCTCTCACAGTGACTGGGAATAGGCTGTCACCGTCTCCTGTCTGAGGAAACAAGAGAGGCCTAGGGGGGCACATCACTTGGCTGTATGACCTAAACTGAAATCTCATCTAGAACATCTCAGACCTGTGGCCCTGCTAAATAGCATAATGTGCAAAATCTCTGACCATTCATCCTGTAACATCCCTTCATCTCCAGTCCCTTGACCTCCAACCCCCAAGCCTCCATATACCATCAGACCCCAGACTCGCCTCCTCTTACACTGTTCAGTTTGGTTCTGCACCCTTCCACCTCCCGTCCCAGAACAAACTCAGAAAGACTGGGCCTCCGCTCAAACCTTTCCCCTGGAAAGAGATGCACTTCTCATCCCTTCTGTTCAATAACTTGACAGATTATAATCACAAAACAGTGTGATTATTTATGGATTATTTCCCTTCTTCCTAAAGTGCCTGCCAGGCATCATATTTGCTCCCGAGTAGACTCAATTAAAAGTTTTAGAATAAATAAATGAATGGGTGAGTGGATGAACTAAAAATAAGAAAACTGTTTCAAATAAACATCTGCCTTACTCTCTCCCACTTTGCACTTGACCAATTTCTTTTGCTAAACAGAATAAATAATCCAAACATGTGCATTGGTTCCAGATTTGGTAATTAGTAGTGTGCCGTCCAGATCCTGGGTACAGTGTCTCCATGGAACCTCATTTGTGGATGAAAGATTGAACTATTTTACATCACATCCTATGTACACACTTTATACCCATTCTATATATAGATGTTCTATATATTCTCTTACACACAGTATGTTGTATTTTAATCCTAAATACAGACTGCATGTATTTTTCTAAAATCTTCTTATCTTTGCCATGAAAGTCTTCCCCTACTACCACACCAGATGTTTCATGTTGCTGACAATTGCACGCTATTCTTCAATAATGGGGGTCTTGGTGGAATATTCCAGGGTCCAGCTATGGCCAACAGAAAGTCTCAACTCAAAGGCATGTCTTCCCAGCATTCTGCACAAAGATTTCTGTCCCAGCTGAGAATGGGTGAGGGAAGCAGTCCCCAGGGTGCAGGAACAAGGGCAAGTAAAAGAGAAGAGATGCAGAGGACGATGCTGGATGAGGCAACATGTCAAAGAAAGGCTGGTATTGTGTTGGTCAGTACTAGCAGTGAAGGGACAGCACGGGAAGGAGACCTGGACTCCAGAGAGAAAGAGAACTTCAGGAGAGGCAGAGGCGCGTTCTGGAGACCGTTGGTCATGATGCGGACAACCCAGGTGAAGCCCCGCTGACGCTGCTTCCCCTGCTTGCCTTGAAGAGGTGGAAATTCTGACCCCGATGGTTTCACCACCTGGTTTCCAACACCCCAGAGCATGACCTGCTTCTGAGAGAGACTTGTTTATCTCCATTGTGGAGTTTCAATGTTCAAAACAAGCCATCAAACAAAAGGATCCGCCTGAGGCGCTCTGCTCAGTGCCTGGCTGCCAGGACCCAGCCGGATCCGGCTTCCCTGATCACTTTCACAGCTGGGTCCACCCCTGCTTCCTCCCTGCCTTTCCCGCTGCCTCCGATTGTTGTGGATATCCTCACGGGAAAGCTTTTTTAGCAACTCTTAACGCTTTTCTTCCTATCCTTATATTACGCATGGAAAATAAGATTGTTTGCCCAGAAGCAGCTATTTGTGGCCTTCCGATGGTCCGAGGTTCCAGGGTCTCTCAGATGAGCAGGGTTCAGGGTTCAGGGCACCCAGCAGGACACAGAACCTGGACCAAAAGGCCTGGTCAGTCCAGTTCCCGGTAGGTGGAAAATTCCGAGCCATGTTTTCATAACCAGCATGCTACAGGCAAGTTCCACAGGTCTACAGAAGTAGAAAATGACAGGGCTAATCTGACAGTCGGTTTAAAGAAGGGATGATACCGATAATTAGCATACAACAAGTCTTCACTTGCTAGGAATCACACAGAGTATTGAAATATGGACAAGGAATCACACAGAGTATTGAAATATGGACAAGAAACCTTCAGGTATGTACTATGTGATGCCCATTTTACAGATGAGGAATGTAAAGTTATCTTGTCCCATGTCACACACACAAATAGTAAGTGACAAATTGAAAATATGATAAAACTGAAAATGAGCCAAACTACTAGAGGATGCCTATTTTATAAATGAAGAATGTGAAATTATCTTGTCCAAGGCCACACACACACAAATAGTAAGTGACAGAGATGAAACTGAAAATAAGGCAGACTAAAATCCACGTTTCACCAACTCACCTGGTCTTACTTAATGCTTGGCTTAGTTAATTATTGTCTATACCCACCCCACCAACACCAAATAGGGCTTATGCCCTAGAAGGGCACAGTCCTTATTGGTTTTATTCACCTCTGTGCCTCTACTAGAATGCACAGAATCTTGCACAAGGTGGACATTCAAGAAGAGATAGGTGGGTGAATGAATGAATGAATGAATGTTGGGCTTTTTTAATTTACAACCTATGAGCTGAAAGTTTCTGAACATTGAGGCAGCAAGTAATAACTGAGTAAAACTTAATTATACACAATTGATTTACCTAAACTTCCCCCAGAAATAATTCTTTTTCCCCCAAGCATTTGGATGCAGCAAGTTCCATACAACTTGGTAATTAAATACAACTTACCAATCTGAAAGTGTAGGAGTCACCAAGGAAATCTTTTGGAGTCATTCAAATATTTATTAATCACTTACTATGCTTCCAAAGCTATTGGAGACTGCTGATCATTTTAGAAGGAAAAGCCAGTCTCAGAATCACCTAGGATACTTGATGAGAGTGCAAAGCAAAACAATCAGAAGGAGCGTTGAAGCTTGTGTTTGCCACTGTGTCTGGTGGCTATTATGAAGAAGGAAATTTTGAGAACCACTGTGAGGTTAGGTTAAGTCACTCTTCAATGGAAAAAGAGAAAAGCCCTAATAAGCTACCAAAATGCCTTTTGATTTTTCTAAAGTTTCCTTCATCACCATCATACCTTGAAGTCACGAGCCCTGTCATTCTTTTTCACTTATTTTAAAGCCCAAACAGGCTTTGAGATAAACTCTGGCACACTGGGGCATTTACCCTGGGCCTGGACCAGGGTCGAAGTGAGACATGGGATCTAGTTGTGCCAGGAGCTGCCGTGTCCCAGAGCAGAGGCTCAGCCTCTCTGAACCCGGTTCCTTGTGTGTGAGCTGTGAGTGAGCTTTTTGATTCTGCATATGCTTCATCAGAGTCACTGGACACACAGAGATCCTGTGTTCCCTCAGGCTCTCGCTTCAGTGACTATGAATTAGGTTGAGAAGGTGACAGGGCCAGGAATCGGGGTCATGCCAATCACCACACCCACTGAACAAATCACAATTCTCCAAAATCGGAATACAGGCGTCTCTAATATCCACAAGAACTTGTTAGAGCTCTTTTGGACAAGAGTTGTTGATCATACCAACGCTGGGCGAACCCAGTGTGGCTGAGTCCCGCAGCCACACTCCTGCTGTGTGTCTCCGTGAAGGTGACCGCCGTGGGGCTTCGTAGACCACCTGCTCTGAGAACCGCACAGTTCTGGACCCCGAGAAGGCCTGCAGCTTCCGACCAGCAAATGTTTATGGATGTCTACTACCGCAGCAGCAGGTACCATTCTAGGTATCAGGGATCCCGTGGCAACCCCCCACTGACAAAACCTGGTCTTGCATGAGAGCTAACATGCTCGGTGGGAGGAGAGCGATTGATTTTAAGGAATGAATCCGAGATATGGGCACGACGAGGGAGGAAAGGACACAGCAGACCGGAGGAAGCGCTCAGGCCTCCATCCCCATGCCTGGCCGCCGCCAGACTCTGCACGTAAGGAGGACCGCGTAAGGGCGCCCTGCCCTGCTCCTGGACCACCCCGCCGACGCTGTCAGGTCAGGGCACAACTGGAAGCAGCAACTCCCAGGCCGGCCTGGTCTTCTCCTCCCATCAGAGGTCTCCGTGGCGAGGCAGGGAGCGGGGAGGGGGAGACAAGCGCTCCACACACGTGCCCCGCTGCGCACCCCCGCCCCACCCCCACCACCCGCACCCCGGGGTCCCTGGCATGCAGGTGCCACCCGGAGCTGGGAGCTGCCGCTGCGGGCGCAGGGCGGGGCCTGGCGGCGCGGCGGCGCGTCCAGCAGGGGGCAGCGGCGAGTGGCCCGCGCGGCCGCATCATGGATGGCGAGCTGTGCCGGGCCGCTCCGCTCGCCTGGGCCTCCGAGCGCGCCGGCCACGCGCAGGATCCATGAGCCCCGGGCAGCGGCCAGGGGCCTGTGGCTCCCGACGCGGCCGCCAGGTGGGTGGCGCGGCGGCGGCGGGCGGGGACGCGCGGCCCCCGCCCTGCCTCCCCGGGGTCCACACCCCCTTCGGGCTCCCGAGGCGCGGGCGGACATGGTCGGGGTGCGCCGCGCGGGGACCAGCGCCGCCGCGTGTGCCCGGGCATCGGGGCCAGGGGGCCGCGGTCCCGCGCGCCCCTGCCCGCCCGGCCGCCGCCTCCTTCCTGCCCTCACCTGCGCCTGGTAGTCCTCTCCCCGGGCCAGGCCGGCGGCCACCGCCGGGACGAGAGGGGACGACAGCCCAGGGAGACAGAGAGAGAGAGACAGAGACAGAGAGGGAGCACCTGAGGATACAGGGCTGCCTTTTCACCCCCCCAGGTGATGAGTGAGGCCGGCAGATCCGAAGATCCGAAAAGCAGCCGGGGCCTCCGGATCGAATGAAGAAGGAGCTGGTGCCGAGACATCACCATGAACACGAGCAGTAAGTGGGTCCTCCTGGCTTCGCCATGGGAACGGGGTGGGGGCGGAGGTGCCCGAGCGGCGCCCGGGCTGCTGCTGCCAGCCAGGAGGAAGGCAGCTTGGCACCTGGGTGCACGCACGCGTGGCTCCCGGGCCCGTGGGGGGCACTGTCTGCGCTCCCCCCCCCCCCCCGCCCAGCAGAGGCATGCATGCACCTTACAGCAGAGCCAGCGGGGGGGGGGGGGGGGGCACGTCCCAGTCCCGCTGCACCTGCCTTTGGGGAAGCTGCCTGCCTCCTCCTAGCAGAGCCTGCAAGGCTGAAGCAGCAGTAGCGGGGTGGCCATTGTCTGCTGGGGCCCTGGGAGACCTCCTGCTCCCAGCCAGGGAGCCAGGGTGGGGGCTCCTGGTCCCCCAGGCTGGTGGGAGAGGCGGCAGGCCAGTGTGGGGATGGGAAGGAGCGGTTTGATGCACAAATCCTGAGGAAGCCACCTTGGGGTCTGGGGGTGTTCAAGCTAGCCCCCTCGTGCGCCGCCGGACAGGGGTCTCCTGAGATCTAGAAAAGAGAGAGGGCCTTGGGCCGCAGGGTTCTGATGTGCTGGAGGCCACAGCTGCTGTTGTAGAGCCAGGAGGAGACGTTTGGCCCTGAGCTCGGCCTCCAATGCTCTGAACGGCAGCGAGTCGCTCTGGTTTGCTGCTTCTGAGCGTGGTCAGCCCTGACTTGGCCTGGGTTCCCTGGGCCCTCTCCTCCCAGCCACCTTCTGCAGCAGGTGGGGTTGATGAGCAGAGGTGCTCCCTGGACAATCAGCCCCTGGGTCTGTGACTTTGCCATCAGATTGGCATCCGAGTACAAGATTGCTCATCTGCAAGTTCAGACGGGTTCAACTGGAGCTTCCTAATAATCTAGATATTTCTTCAGAAAAAAAAAAACTGAAAAATCCAGAACCTTCTGGAGACTGTGTCCATCCATCCTCACTTACCGTCTCCTCCCCCCACCACACCCCCATTTCAAGTCTGTCAGTGTGAGGGGAGGAAAGTGGGAGACAGCGGTGGAGATGAGATGAAATATATTTATTTACTATGTGTTTGTATGACTCATCTCTCTGTCTTCCTCTGTGGATTACAGAGCTCAGCTAAGCAAGTGGGGTTGGCTGGACTCCTGTCTCTTCCAGCCAAAGAATGTTGCCTCTTGGTCCTGACAGTCAGGAGTGACATGTTGCTTTCACACCAGACTGGGGGAAAGAGCAAAATCCAGAGACCCTGTCACCTAGTGAGATGCGGATTTGCCTCAGAAAGCTGTCCCCTGTCCTCCACCCCTCCCCCAACCCCCATCCCCGGTTTCTCATCATCTGTAGGGGAGACAACACCCATTCCTCTTAGGGTCCTATATCTCTGGATAATGGAGATAGCGTGTTTCTTTCTCTTTTTCTTTTTTCCAAGGTATTCAGAGATTGGGTAGCAGGCTAACTGAATCTGCCCTTCACTGCCTGGAATCCTAGAGAACTTTTCCCATTAGTAGCCCAGAGATTCCTAAAAAAAAAGGAAACCAAGTTTCTACTTTAAAAAAGAAAGGAAGGAAGAGTTACTTCACTGAATGCTGCAAAAGACGAAACCTAGCAGCCTGGCACACTTTGTCCAAATAGGGAGGAAGTATTCATTTTAGGACTAGCAGAAGATAAACAGAGTAAGTGGGGTAGAGGGGGGGACCCAGGGATGTCCATAAGAGGAAGTGTTTCTTGTAAGGGCTCCCCAGGGTCAAACTGCAGAGGGAAACCCCATCCTCGCCCAGGTCCTCACAATCCTCACTCAGTACAGAGTAACCAGGTCTCTAGGTCACGGCTCGGCTTCTGGTGGATGGTCCTTGGGGAGACAGATCTGAGCACAGTGCTCCTCTCCTCTGGGGCATAAGATCCTTAATTCGACCCTCCTGCTGAAAGTAGAATCAGTTTTTCTTTCTCTTCAATTTCCTGAGTCCCTGCTCTCCCTCCGCCACAGTGCTCAACAGTGAGCTTGAACAGGCAGCCCAGCCTTCACATCCAACCTCTGAAAAGTGTATTTTCATACCAGGTTTATCACTACAAACTTGTTGCTAATCTATGCTTCTCCCGGTGCAGCAGTTAAGTTCTGGATGATAAAGGTACTTGGGTAACACAACCTTTCCCATAGTATGGGCGTTCCTGTTCGCAGGAACCCCCCAAACCAGGGCAAGTGTGAGCTCTTTGTTCAACTCCTGGTCACTTCCTCTGGATTGATGTCTCAGGGCCATGGGTCAGAACTGGCCATCAGACCTGGAATCAGAGTCCTGGGCTCCAGTCTTCCCTTGTCATTTACATCACTTATCCATGGTTGTGGACTTTCAGCATGGGTGGTCTCATCTGCAAATTGGGGGTGCTGTCTTTTACATTCCTTGGGTGAAGTGGAGCTGAGTGTGACCACCACATGGGATGCAGGACATAGCTGGATACTGGCAGCCGTGGTGCTCGGGCTGTGGTAGTCACTGTGTGGGCATGCTGGCTCTTGTCATTGTTGACCTTATGACGTTAGCAAGCAGGGAACACAACTTCTAGGCTGTCACACCGTCATCAGCCGAGTAGAATACCAAAGCGGGATTTCCAGGGTGAGAGGAACGTGGGAACTGGCTTAGGAAATGTTGGTCAGTGGTTATAATGGATGAGAAGCTCAGAAGAGCTTGGGCACTTGCCTGGGACTCTGCTTGCTGACCCAGTGCCTATCCCCTTATGGCTCCCCAAGTCCTGCCAGGAGCAATCCCTGAGCCTAGAGCTGGAAGTAAACCTTGGGCACCACCAGATGTGCCCCCCGGCTCCCCTCCCCAACACACACACACACACACACACACACACACACACACAAAGAATGCTGGTTCAAAGCTTCATATGAATTTCAGTTCACCCAAGACCTGGGCTTCTGAAAGCCAACTGAGCTTAAGTGTACCCCAGATCAGGGCACCTTGGGGCGGGGGAAGTAGCAGGTGGTTGGGCAGGCCTGGGTGGAGGCCAGCAGGGGGCCTGGCCCTCAGAGACCACAGAGAGCTTGTGAGGTTCCCTTTGGAGAGAACAAGACAGCACCAGCATGAAGCAAACCAGCACTCCAGGGTCCTGGACCCAGTCCGAGCACCACGCTCCATGTGCAAAGGACTCTGGGGAAAGGAAGGCAAAGAGTACCGGGTTCCACTGTGCCCCAGCGGGCTGGGCCTCCCACCCCACCCTCCCCTGCCTCCCTCTTCCCCACTCTCATTTCTGGGTGATGTCTTTGATTTTCTCCTGGCCCAGCCGCAGCCCCACATTGCTCCCTTTTCTGTCCCTTGTGCTTCCGCTGGAGAGAACAAGACAGCCCACTGTGTGCTGAGTGTGAACCCCATTTCCCCCAGCAAGCCTTCAGGAGGCCTCAGGGTGCCCTGCTGTTCTCAGTGCATCAGTCCATTTTACCCCTGGGGTCCAGAACATTTACCTTCTGCCCTTCCTCCTGCCCTTTCTCCCCACATCCTTTGGAGATGCAGAAGCCTGGACCCTCAAGTCTTGTCCCATCACTGCACACTCAGCTGTGAGGACCCAGGCCACTTTCCTGACCTTCTTCCTTGAGGCTCACCCAGAGGGAGCTGAGCCTGATCTGGCATGATGGTGAGCCTGATCTGGCATGATGGTAGTCTCTGGGGACTGCAACCCTCCAAAGAACCTCTTCTAAGGCAGAAATTCACTGTGTCACCTGTTCCCATGTTGGCTACAGGAGCACCCCTGTTTCTGGGTCCAAGACAAGGGAGTCAAAATATAGCAGAGAGTTCTGAGGCCCTAAGCACCCCAGCGCTGTGTCCCCTGAAAGGCTACTCCCACGGGTCTGAACTCCCAGTTTAGAAAAACTTTGGGTGTCCTTGAGATGCAGGGCCATTGCACCTACCACATCTGGTGGCACCCATGGCCTTCCCCCTTCTCTAAGAAGCTCCTACCTGCCCTCCAGCTCCTGCCTTGGACTTAAAAAAAATTTGAATGGGCCATGGCACCTCCTTTTGTTACTATAATCTTTATTCCATTGTAGTTGCAGTAACATGGTTACAGTAGTATTTGTGTTTGTGCTTTTAGTTTCCTTCATTGGTCTTTCTGATGGATGGGCCTAACAATTTGACTTTTGTTTGGTTCAAGAGAACACTGAGGGTATCTGATCCCTGCAGCAGCAGCATGGAATAAACATATGCCATGCTGGGGGAGTAGGAAATGTGAAGGTGTCCTAATCTCTTGAAACTGTCATTATCTCCCTCTCTGTGGCCTTGGACAGGATGAATATATTTCTAGCCTGAACTGTATCATGCTTGTGTGTGAGCAGTGATGCCAGTGTGTGTGGTCATCACCATGGTTAAGTTAAATAATAAAAAACACTGTGGCATTTGGTTGTAGGGAACAGAAAGGAATCTGAAGGTGAGTTGGCTGTTGGGTAGAGCAGAGTTCTGATAGATTTGCCAAAACCAGTGGCTGAAATTAGCCTGCTTCTCTGGGAAATCAAGGCTTTCCAGAGGCTTTAGGAGGATTATTAAACCAGTATTTTACATCCCATGGGTTGAAAGAGGGAAGATGAAAATTTAGGATCCAGGTCGAAGACAGATGGCTTCAGGGGCTGAGCACCTGCCGTGCTTATGGGTTCCATCTCCACACCGCATGTTCCCTGAACATCACCCAGGGTAACCCCTGAATATTAAGCTTCTAAGCCCTGAACCTAAACACTTTCTCTCTCTCTCTCTTCAGAAGAGGCTGAGATTTTAATGATTATCAGAATGAAAATTAGGGGGAAGAGACTTTGGAAAATAAAATGTGTTTTACCTAGCACCTACTAAGTTTTCCATGAAGGAGAAAAGGGGTCTCTTGGATAAGTGCTGGCTGGGAACAGATTTGAAGAGATCTAGTAAGAAGAATCTCCACAAGGATGTAAGCAGAGCATGAAAATAGTCCCCACAGCCTGGACACCTCCCCAGAAAGCCTGGTCTCCACAGCCTGTCCCCACCCTCACCCTGCCTGTTGG